CAATACCCCTAGACTTTATTTTAGGGATTGAGAACCAGACTCTCTTTCACTCCTTGCCTGTCTCTCTGTTGAACAGCAAGAGGCTCATGTACCTAAGGCCCCATTGATTGAGGAGGGTCCCCAGGAAGTGCCCTAGGAGAGGGCAGCTGCTGAGAGGCAGGAACAGCAGGAGGAGGCCCCCCAGCCTGAGCCCAGCACCTGCCCACAGCACCTTCCTGTTGGGGGGTAAGAGGGCACCATGCGGTCCCAGGACAGGCCATGGGGCTGACAGTGGTGGTGGGAGATGTGGCTCTCAGGTGCCCCAGCCACAGCTGCAGGCCAGGTGGCTGGTGTAGTGTGTGACCCTGAGGAAGGGGACAGGGCCAGAGCACCTGAGAGACCAGGCAGGGGACCTGAGAGAACAGCTGGCCCTGACCCTAACTTCCTACCTAAAGGTCAGCGATGGTGGTAAACACCCTGACACACTGGGGTTTGTTCCAACACAACCCTAGGACGTGGGTGTCATCTTGTCCCCACTCCAAGAAAGGAAAACTGAGGTGAGGCAGTGAGGCAGCCTGCCTGTGCTCCAGAGTCTGAACCAGGGCCACCAGGCCCCAGTCCCCCACCCACAGGCCAGGAGAGGCACGGCTGGAGCCCAGAGCTTGCCAGGCTCAGGCCCCTTCCCATCACCCAGACCCTCTGGGAGGTGCCACCTGGGTCCCTCTGAGGAGTGGACCAGGTCCGAGCCCAGGAGGGTCCATAGCCCCTGCCCTCCAGTGCATCACCTCCAGCCTCCTCTTTCTGCTGGGCCTGCTGACCCACCCCCTCTGTGTCACAGGGCTGCTGTGTGTCCTGCTGAGTCTCTCCAGAGCTGGAGCCTGGGACTTTCAGCGTGAGTGTGGGGGAGCAGCATGTCCACAGCCAGAGCCTGGGAGGGGCCCTGCACCCCAGCCCAGGGAGGAGAGGACTGGTCAGGGAGGCTCGGGGCATCTCACCACCTCCTGGGACCTCCTCTGGGGACCACATTGCCCCCTCCCAGCCTCTGACCAGTCTGTGCCCACACAGCCTGTAACCCCTGGTGCCCTCCTAACTCAGAATGTGTCAACGCCACCGCCTGTCGCTGCAAGCCGGGGTTTGCCTCTTCATCTGTAGAGGTCTTCACCAACGTCCTGGACACCTGTCATGGTAAAGAGGCTTGGGGGAGGGGCAGAGGCACATCAGAGACTGTCTAGCAGGTGTGAGTCCCTGGGCTAGTCTCCAGCTCCAGGGGAAGAAAGGAGGAGAGTCATAAGGAGGGAAATGAGATCCAAAGTGTCATTTCCCAGTGTCAGTGGGGGTCATGGGTAAGGGTCAAGGGCTGAGCCTTTGACCTCAAGGCCATCATCAAAGACAGAAAAGAGAAAAGAAATAGTAAGATGGCAGAAAGAACAGGTAATTGCACAGAGAGGACCTGGGCCTCAGGAGGTGGTCTCAGCCTGCCCTTAGGTCTAGGAGGGTGACACTGAGCTTGTAGCCCACACACTACCTTGGCATTGTCCCCCGGAGACAATGTCCAATTATCCAATTGTCCCCTGGGGGTTGGTCAGAGGACTGTGTTGAGCAGATCAGACTGTGTGGACTTCAGGAATGGCTTGGCCCAGCATAGCCTCAGCAGTGCGTCCCAGGATTCTGTTCAAAAGATACTAACTCCACATCAGACCCCAAGCTGGGGGGTCAGGTAGGGGACAGGAATCTCTTCCCTAAGAGACCACAAATGTTTGGGAGGTGACCCTTGGTCCTATTATGTTGCAGACATCAACGAATGTTTGTTGCCCCGGAAAGTGTCCTGTGGATATTTTGCTGACTGCCACAATGTGCAGGGGAGCTACTACTGCACGTGCTCCCCAGGATTTGAGCTCCATTCTGGGGCAAAAAAATTCACTAATGCGAGTGAGAACACATGTCAAGGTAAGGCCCACCCCTCACCTCCCCCCGCACATGCAGTTCAGGGCACCAGAGCTGATCTAGGGACAGCGCCCAGTTATAGCCTCAGCACTTGGACTGTGAGATGGGGCAGCTGTGCGTGTACCTGTCACCTGCACAAGACGTGGGAGAGGATCAGGGCACTCTGGGACCAGCTGCTTGGCCCCATCCTGACAGCTCTTCCCGTGACAATGACCTGGGTGCTTATCAGGAAACCCTGTGGACATGTGAGATGTGACAACATCATTGTTGTTTTCTGTTAAAAAAAAAAAAGCCAGGCACCAGTGGCCTGTGCCTGTGGTCTCAGTCAGTTGGGAGGCTGAGGCAGGAGGATCACTAGAGCCCAAGAGTCCAACCCAGCCTGGGAAACAGAGAGACCCCATCCCAAGGGGGGAAAGTGGGAGAGAGAGAAAAGAAAAAGAAAACCACAGGAAGGAGCCCCTACTTCTAAAGCTACAAACAAAGGTAGAGGCTGGGGTGTGGCTCCAGGACACAGCCCTTTGTGGCATGAGCAGGAAAGTCAAAACCAAAACCAGAGGTAGCTTTGCTCTTGGTTCACTGTGTGACTTCAGACAAGTCATCTCACCTCTCTGTGCTTCAGTGTGTCCATTTGCAGAAGGGGAGTCTTGGAATGGGCCATAGCTCAGTGGTGGAGCACTTGTCTAACAGGTGCGAGTACCTGGGTCAGTCCCCAGCTCCAGGGGAAGAAAGGGGGAGAGAGAGGGAGAGTCATAAGGTGGGAAATGAGACCCAAAGTGTCATTTCCCAGTATCAGTGGGGGTCATGGGTAAGGGTCAAGGGCTGAGCCATCATCAAAGACACAAAAGAGAAAGGAAATAGTAAGATGTCAGAGAGACCTCGGAATTGCACAGAGAGGACCTGGGCCTCAGGAGTTGGTCTCAGCCTGCCCTTAGGTCTGGGAGGGTGACACTGAGCTTGCTCTGCTCCTTGCCATGGTCTGGCCTGACACCATGATTCCCAGGAGGAGTAACTTCCACACATGAGCAGGATTTGCCTCCTTCCAGGGCAAGGTGGTTAGGCAAAGAAAGCTGCTTCCAGCATCCATGGGGCCAGGCGGAATCCAGCAATGGGTGGGCAGAAGCCAGGACGCATCCAGGGAGATGCTAGTGCCATGTACACAGAGGGAAAAGGGAAGGTACATGAATGTAGGAGGTACACAGGGCTAAACTGGGGATCAAGGGGACTCTGAGGACACAAGGTCCCTATGGGTGCACATTGTGCCATGTGTACATGTCTTGGCCAGAGGATCCAGGGGGCTGTATGGAAAGACCAGGGTCCTGGGAAAGGAACAGGGGTTCTGACAGGAGGCTCCTGAGGGACCTGAGCAGCAGCAAAAAACTAACTGGGGTGACATGTTTCTGTAGCCTCACAACGTGTATCTGTACAGGGAAGGCCCGGGGCACACCAGGGCTTACACACTCCTCGAAACACACACAAGGGTGTGGGTCGCTGGGTGGCAGCACCACAGCCCAAGCAGGGCGCTAATGGGAGGAAAGGGGGTGGAGCTCCGATGGTGGAGAGCACTGGTCCTGGCTTCAGCGGGAACCAACCCCTCTCTCTATGTCCCCAGATATGAACGAGTGCAGCTCCGGGCAGCATAAGTGCCACCGCTCCACCACCTGCACCAACACCGAGGGGAGTTACTCGTGCCAATGCCGCCCAGGCTGGGAGCCAATTCCTGGGAGTGTCAATGGCTTCTACAAAGAGATCTGCAAAGGTACCCAGCCCTCCCTGACCCCAGAACCTCCCCCACCCCACACACACGTGCACACCCACATGCATGCTCATACAAACCCACACACGCACACCTGCACTCCTCCTAATGAACCAATGTCCTGTCCCCGCAGTCATGCCCTTCTTCACCTGGCCTCTGCCCCCTGGAGACCACAGCCAGGTGAGCACCCCAGCCAGGACAGGGAGGTGGGAATCCCTGGGACAGCACCCTGTCCACCCCTTGGCCCTGAGTTTCCCACCCACCCATGACCCCTCATCTCACCTTCTCAGAGTCTCTCCCATTTCTTTGAAAAAGTCAACAACCTGCACAGGGATTTAAAGTCAGCCATGGCCAAGGACACCATCCAGGTAAGGGCAGGATCCAGGGGAAGCAGAGGGAGACCTCCCACAGAGGAGGAGGGCAGCTGTGGTCTGGGGGGAGGAGACAGGCCCAAGCACAGTGGGGTCCTGCTCTGAGCTGGCCACTCTCCCAGGGCAGGTGGAAGAGGACACTGGGAGCCCACATACTGTTGGATGCCCACGTGCACTGTCTGTCCTCTTGCTCTCATCCTGGTCTTTGTCATCCTTGACAGTCACGAACCAGGGCTGACCTCTGAGGAGCAAGGGCCACCCAGGATGTCCCAAACCATGCTCTCTCTATCCCCAACTGGACAGTGTCTGGGTCTGTTCTCTGGGGCTGAGTGGTCAAACTCTTTGTGTGGTGCTTCTGGCCCGAGTCCACCTGCTCTGTGCCCCCATCCCTCCAGGGGATCATGCAGGAGGTGGATGAGCTGCTGGAGACCCCTGGGGACCTGGAGACCCTGCCCCCCTCACAGAAGCACTGCGTGGCCACTCACCTGCTGACAGGCCTGGAGAGTGCCCTGAGACACCTGAGCAGGGGTCTGCCTGAGGGGACAGCAACCTTCAATTATTCTGCAGGCACACGTAAGTCCCTGGGTCTGCGCCAGCCCCTGTTCCATGCCTCATCCTCTTCTGATCCTACTAGAACTGAGCAGCCACACTGTGTCTTTGCTCTATGCTCATTTGCCGTCAGTTCTGAAATCAGGAAGTGTGTGTCCTCCACCTTTGTTGATCTTTTCAGCCATGCTTTAAAAACTTGGATCTCTTGCAATGCTATGTTAGTTTTAAGGTGAGTTTTCCATTTAAGCAAATTGTAATGTTAATGGGCTGTTGGGACATTGATAGGATGACATTGACCCTGTAGATTTCTTTGGAGAGTGTCTCCATCTTACCAATATAATGTTTCCCAATCCATGAACATGAGGTATCTTTCCCTTCATTTAGGGTCCCCTTTCAAAACCTTCAATAGTTCTCTATGTACAAATCGTGAGTTTCTTAGTTTAATTGATTCCTAATATTTGGTTACAGATTGTTGTGTCTGTGTCCATAAGCAATAAAGTCTCTTCTTGTGATGTCTTTATCTGGTTTGGGCATAGGAGTAATATTGGCCTTCAGGAATTACCAGGTGGTATCCCTCTTCTGTTATTTGAAAGAGTTTAAAACTAATTCATGTTCATTCTTCCCTATATGGTTGGTGAATTTCACAATCAAGACCATCTGATCTCAGATGTTAATTTAGGAGGTTTTTCATTTTTGCTTCAATCCCTTTACCCATGATAGGTCTCTTTAGATTTTCTACTTCTTCTTGAGTCAGTTTTAGCAGTTTCTGTGTCCCTAAGAATTTCATCTATGTTTTCTAATTTGTTGATGCAAAATTGCTCCTACTGTTACAATTCTTCATAACTTCAGATTTCA